CGTTAATGATACTCTTAGTATAATTATTTTTCTTCAAATGTCTTTCAATACTTGAAACAAGGCATCTTAAACTTGAAGGCTCATAATCCTCTCCGTCTTTACGTCTCACAGAACGAATAAACTCCGCAAGGTGCTTGTTTAATTCTGCGGGCTCTATGTCTTGCACTTCTCGCTCGTCGTTCTTTTCGTTTCTCAAAAACGTTTCCAGCAATTTCACATCTCGTTTCGTTTTCTCTTTCGTATTCCTGTTTTCGAGACTTTCCACGTAATCCTCGACTGAAGTATCGTGATCAACAAACCTTTTCTCGTTCATGTTTTTAAGCTTCAACACTTGCGAAAGATTTCTTTAAAAACAAAGTGAAATGCTGCCAGCTGAATGAAAATCACCTTGTTACGGCTCACACGTCAAAAAACATGATACGCAGCACCTGATTGGACGTATCGTTTTCCTCACACGTGGAAAAAGCAATACGCGCCATTTGATTGGCTGTCGGGTTCTTAGACCAGCTTGTGAACCAAATTTATTTCGCGCCTTTTCAATGGGTAAATCTCAGTACATATATAATAAATAATAATGTTTAAATTGGTACCGACCATCTGACTTTTGAGGGGGAGGGGATGGGGACTGGATGATAAAGTTTGTGAATAATCCCCTCGACTTCGTCTTGGGGATTATTCAACAATATTAACTTCGCCTTCGGCGAATAATTGTTAAATATATATATTTTTCGAAGCCCACAATTATGATCATCTTTTTTCCTAATTTTTTTGGTTGCAAATATAAGATGTTTACCTCGATGCGAGAATGTTTTCATTCCAAGTTTGTTTGCAAGCTTATTTTTTCCCTCTCTCTCTCTTTTTTTTTTGCAAGCCGTTCAGTCATCCTCAGTCCCCACTACCCACCCCATCAGAAACAACATGGTCGGTTCTTAAGATCAGCATACGTCAAAGATAGTGCGAACTAGCTCAAGATCAAAGCCTCTTTCCGTAGGTGATCCGTTATTAATTCAAAAATAATTCAAAACGATGCTCTTTAGCCAGGGTAACCTCAGAATAAAGTGCTTTTATCGATGAGCGCCTTGGAGAATTAGAACCACTAATATATTGCAACATTTAATAGTTTAACTCATAAAATTCTAAAAACTTGTGTTCTTTAGAAATGCAAAATAAAGGTTTTATAAATTAGATCAAATTACCCAGGTGGGATAATCAACCACGCACTCTCTCTTCCTCTTCCTCTCATGACTTTTTCTCTTGATTTTGTATCAATATTGTTTGGAGAAATTTAATATTGGTCACTATTGGGACTTCGGGGGTTACGTATGTTGTACAAAGTGGTCATGCTATATTACTACTCGACGTCCGCATCCTTGGAAAGCGGTTCGTTTGAAACAAAACGGCGGCTGATTAGAAAAAGCGCTCAATCTTGACAATCGCACGGCAAAAAGAATGGGGGAATGGAAACATTTCATTCTAAACTATTGGGGCTGTTGGTAAAACCCCGAATTGTTACCATTAAAATGAAAGCTACTAAGCAGTACTTTCCCGTGGTGCTGTTTATTATGCTACACAAAGCGGTTCCAACTTTTGGGTATGTGGATGAAATCGTCGTTGAGTCTGTGCTGTTTATTATGCTGAACAAAGTGGTTCTAACTTAAGTCTGTGGATAAAATCCTTAAGTGTGACCATTTAAGTGAAAGCTACTGAGTAGTACTTTCCTGTGGTACTGTTTATTATGCTGATTTAAGTCGATCTGGTACAGTTTATCATGCTGAACAGACTGTAGTCCTTAATATTAAACTTCTGTTTTAAAGGTCCATGCAGATCTGTGCTGCTCATATTTTTCTCCAAAAAAAAACATGCAAAAAAAAAAAAAAAAACAATTCCAGACTACTTTTTTCACACTCATTCAACCCACTCGACGCCTATCTTTTTCATTTGTTGAGTACACAGTGCGAAAAAATTTTGAGATTGGGTTCATCTCGACGTGCATAACTTCCCAGCAAAAAAATTTGGGCGATTCCTAGAAAAAACAAACAACCAATATAACCAAAATAATTAAACCTCACAACACTAAATACAA